GGCACCAAATTCTAAATTTATGTTACATTTCGACTACATATATAACCCACTTTCAATAAATATTAATGTTTCCACGGGTGAAATGTCCCTTTAAGGGTTCCTATGGTCCGAACAATGTATCTCCCCTTAAAACACCAGATTGTTATTTTTAAGTAAAGCATGTTCAATAGTGAGCTTTAGAGGTACAGAAGACAGAGCCAGGCTAGCTGTTCCCTCCTGCTTCTATGTTAAGCTACTGTATGCTACATTCACATTCTGACAAAATTGATGTTCTTTTTATTTCACTCTCAGAAAGTTAAATGTGGAACTATTACTTTGAGGTAACGGACGCATTGTTTAGTGCAAAGTCACTTAATCTGAAATGGCCACAGAAATACAGTTAAATACCCAATTCAATAAACACACTAAATGAAACCATCTTTTTCTTCTTCTTGGTTAACAAATGAAGATAATATTGCCCAGCTTTGTTGCTACTAAAAGAATCTATGCTTACTGTATATCCATAATTATAGTTCCCCTGGGAAGTGTGCTGTTTCATTATTAGACTCCATTATTTATTCAGAGGGATGTAAACATAGCTCCTGATAAAGGCTGGGGCTCTCCCCTCGTTGCAGGTCCACATCCTGACTCTCATCAAGAGCTGAGTGATTTTTTTTTTTACAGCTTTAATGAAGCCAGGAACAGTTAAGGCCTGCTGCGAACGATGGCATACTCTGCATTAAGAAAGGCTTACTATTCAGCCCTACTCCCAGACCATGCTATCACAAAGTGCATCTCCTTTCATTCATTGTTTGTATGCACATTTTTAATTTGGGCATAAAAGTTTGGTGTTTTGTTAAAAACGAATGCAGCAATGTTCAATGGAAACAGACTTATAAATCAAGATGTTTATGTCACAAACTTTGACATAAACATCCACTAATGCTTCCTCTCTGAGAAGATGGAAAATAGCGGCAGACAAAAACATCAGATCTGTTGTCTGCATTTCGGCATTCTCTAAGGCTACAGGCCTAGATTTTCCTAAACCACTCATACAACATCCCAATCTCTCAATGTGGCAGTGTCTGTATCTGCAGAGACCCTGCAGCCCTCTGCCTGTAGTTTCTTATTTTGTTGTGTGTGGGGTGTTTCTGGGCATCAACATTTGGGCAGTGTGCAGGGTCTGAGATCAGGACTCTATAAAAACATAAAGTCTCTCTCTACTCTGCTCTCTAGCACTGGCACTTAATGTAAGTGAGGAGATAGGTGTATGTGAGACTATGAAAGTATAAAGAGCTGTGGCCTGTGTGTGTGTGTGTGTGTGTGTTAGACTGAGGGTGGGGCTGAGCTATACACAGCAAACTGCAGTTTTGGGGCGCATGCTCGCAATATAAATGTGTTCCTCAGTTGTTGTTGCTGCATTTAAAAATATCCCTCATGATGGGCTGTGTTATCATCATAGACATTAACGTCTTATGTGCTGCATGTATTTTGACTGTCTGATAAACTTTTTTTATGGCCTTGCAAGCTCCAGGTTCACATCCCTGTTTGCATCAAAAGTAATTCATTACAGCTTTTAATGAAGCTGCTAACATTTAAGGCCTGCTGCACCAAGGTGCTTCTCGTCATCTGAAGCGTGACTTCATAGCTGTTTACCAGCTGGGCGGTAAAGGCCAGGAAGGTAGCTGCATACACACAGGACCTCATTTATGAAGATAAGTGTATTTAATCTAAATTTGAAAGTCTGTAAATTCTGTAATAACAGTATTGTGGGGAAATACTTTTGGGAAATTAATGAGTTGACTTGCACTGAACACTGTAGGAACAAGTTTATTAAAAGTGACGTATTAGAATAGTTTCAAATATTTGGAAAGTTAGGATTAGAGAGGTATTGTTTGAGAGCAAAATACACTTTTTCCCCCCCATTCTGGGTATTGTGACATCACAGTTTTACACTGATCAGATAATTACCTGGTCCCTGCAGTAAAAGTTCAGTTTTCCACTGACAGTGTTTGGTGACTCACACTGCTGCTGCTCAAATCGGCATGAAACTCTGCCGGTGGAATGTCTCGTTCTTTGATAGAAAGTCAAAATTCACACACCTATCATTGCACAAATAAACTGTGGAGAAACTCCCTACGACTCTCAATGTGCATTTTGTTTTCTCTGTGTGCCGCTAATGGCGGGAGACAGCTACGATCTGAACTGACAGCATAATTTGCAACCTAAATCAATTCAGTTTTAAATCTGAGGTCCATTTTGGATGAATTCAACAACAATGGCATCATGTTTCATTGACAATTTCAATAACGACACATTTTGAATTCACTACCACTCTAATTCTCTAACAGTCAATGAAAACTCACTCATGGATATTGTAGTATATAAAGCCATCTACCATGTCAAATGTCAATTCACGAGAAATAATCTGCTTAAAATGTATCCTCATCACTCGCTGAACACAAACAGTGAACATGATA